CAGGCGGATCTCTGTGAGTTCAAGTCCAGCCTGGTCTACACAGTGAGTTCCGGGTCAGCTGGAGCGACAGGGAGACCCTGTCTCAAAAACAAAGGGTAAGATTTTGGAAAGGTAGAGGTAGCTCCCGGCTAAAGGAAGCCCCATATAAGTGCCACTTGCATTCCATACCAAACAGGGAAACAGGTTTTGATAAACTTTTGTAAAAATGTGAACTAGGGACACACTGGGAGCAGGGAGAGACAACTACGCATGCGTATCCCATTAGTGCGGCTGAGCTCCGCTGGTGGAGGGCCCTGAATTACGACCTCGGCTGGCGATGACTCACGACTCCTGCCGTAAGACAGTGTGTGGCGCGTGTGCACTTCCTCTCCCTTACGGAATCCGGACCTGGTTGTTGCTGTCGGGCTCCTCACTGGGCTGCCTGGCCAATCACCATGGTGAAGCTGAGCAAAGAGGCCAAGCAGAGGCTGCAGCAGCTCTTCAAGGGCGGCCAGTTTGCCATCCGCTGGGGCTTTATTCCTCTTGTGATCTACCTGGGTCAGTGGGAGCGCTTGGGAGGAGGCCGGAGGGAGGCGGCTGGTGGAGTCTGACTCTGTCTTTGGCCACCCGGGGCGGGAGAAGCAAACGCGGGGACCCGGCTGTGCTCATTCTCCGAAGCCGTCAGTCAGGGGTCGAGTGAGTGAACCCGAGTTCCAGTTCCCTCCTTAACTAGTTGGATTACTTTTTTCAGGATTGATTTTAGGGTTAGATGACCCGGTGGATTGTGAAGACATTAGGCCACAGTTGGGCTTCCAGAGCGTTTCTCCTCATTGTAGGTAGGCCGAAGTGGAAAGCTTGGTCTCGGAATCTAGACAACACGGAAAAATGCCACCGCGCTGAAGCCTGATAAAAGAATGCCACAGCTTCCCTGCCTGTGTACTGAAGGGTTTAGGATGAATTTTTAACTGGTCCCATTATTAAAGGGGAGGAAACAGCGTCCTTCCTCAAGGACACGTAATCGAATGAAGTGATGGGGCCTTTGGACTCAGTGGGGTCTGAGTACATATGAACATTTAGTATGTATGTATATATATGTGTGTGTGTGTGTGCATACATTTGACCATTCTCATGTACTGTAAAGATTTAAGGCAAATATTTCCACCCAAGGCTGCACATAGGGTCCTTATCCTGTTCCTGATTCTGAGTTGTGCTTCTTTTTTAATCTTACTTACTCCACTATTCAGGCTGCTAGCACTATGAACGGGAAACAGCATAGGGTTTTAGCCCCCCTCCCCCCAAGTTGGTTTCAGTATGTAATTTGACATTTCAGAAGCTCAAGTTCACATTTTCAAGTAGTATTCTAACAAAGTGCTGCATCCAATTGCTTTTTGGTGCCTTTGATTGTATAAGATAAAATACATTCGTTCTTAATCTTGGCAAGAGCCTCTGGTTATGCTGGACATTTTCCAGGCAGCTGTGGTTCCTGTTCACGAGTTCCATTCCAGCTGTGATAACTTGGATACTTTGGTATATAGGACTTTTTTTTTTTTTTCGTCTTTTCAAGACGGTCTCCCTGTAGCCTCAGCTGGCCTGGAATTCACTATGTAGATCAGGCTGGCCTTGAGCTCACAGAGATCCACCTGCCTCTGCCTCCCAAGTGCTGGGATTAAAGGTGTGGGCTACCACACCCGGCATGGTATATAGGACTTTAAAAATATTTTCTATTATTATTTTGAGACCAAGTTTCATGTAGCCCAGGCTAGCCTTGAACTCCTGGTCCTGGTCCCCTTTTCCCTTTCTAGTGCTGGGATTACAGGCCTGTACCATCACACCAGGCTCTTTCTTCCCTTACTTTGAATGTAATAGAAATAAAGTATTCTCAGACTTCAGTGCTATATAAATATCAAGGATTAGAGCAATTACAACAGCTTAACTTTTTTACAGGCTGTGGTGGTCATCGTATTTTCTCTTCCATTTCTTTATATAGTCCCCTCCATTTTCTTTTAATGACCAAATAACCTGTATTTAGTTAGGGTCTCGCTTTGTTGCCCAGGTAGGGCTCAAACTCAAGAGTCTGCCTCTACTGCCTTAGTGCTGGGATTATAGGACTGTGTCACCATGTGGGGTAGAGGACCTTGTTTAACTGATCAGAGACTGCAGCTAAAAGGAACAAATAATTAAAAAAGAAGAATGGTGGTAAGGGGGCCTGATTTGCCCCTTCTTGTTGCACCCTTATTTCATTGTTGAGAATGGAGTCCTATTTTAGCCTGGTTTTGCTTTTCCTGGCTTTTATCCCTGCAGTTTCTTTGCTTTACAGTCTATCTTACCTATCCTCATGCCTTCATTTTTGTAGTCTCTATGTAGACCAGACTTACTAAACTTGGAATTCTGCCTCAGCCTTTGGTGTAGTTGGGATTACAGGTGTGTTAGACTCTTCTATTGAGATTTCTCCTTCTGCCCTCTCTTCCTTCCTCCTTCCATTTCTTTCCTTCCCTCCCTCTGCTTTTCCTGAGACAAGATCTCACCATATAGCCTAGGCTGACCTGGCCGTAAATTCAGGATCTTCCTGCCTCTACCTCCTGAGTAATGGAGCTGTGGGTGTGCTTGAGATACCTTCAGCTAGAAAGCTGCACTTAACTGTCAGAATCTTTGTTCTGAGGAATGGGTGATGCTTTTCCATACTGGTGTTGATTTCATAAATAAACTCCTATGACTTTCATTAATAGTGATTTTTACCCTAGCTCCCAAATCAGGTTATCTGAGATTGATGTTAAGACTCTTTCAGTCCTATTCCTTACTAATCATTGTCTTTTACTTCTCACTGTGTATGAGATTTAATTTTTATGTTTAAACTGTTTCCAAGGTTCTTTTACTTCTATACCATCTCTCCCTAAAACCTGTAACTGCAGATTATGAAACCTATGAATTTCTTTTCAAACATACCTTTGAGTGCTTTAGGAAGTAGAGTTTGACAGAAAGTGACACTGCAATGAAGAATGTGTCTGTACATTTACCAATAAAAAGATATTAATGAACCACCAACTGCAAGATGATTCTCTGTAGTCTCTTACCTTTCTCTAGTT